AAAAAGGCGAGAAAAGACAAACGACGACGAAAAAAAAAAAAAAAAAAACATCGGCGCGACGAAAGAAAAATAAAGGCGCGAAGCGTCAAACGAAAACCGTGACAACGACGAAAGAAAAGAAAAGAAAAAAAAAGAAAAAAACGACGACCAAAAAAGAGAAAGAAAAACAAAATCCCTCGCTACCCGCTTATCGACGATGGACGCTTCAAGATATTCCCTCGCATCTACAACCGCCACCGCCTTCCACCATGGACATGCTCCCTCATTTAATGGCGCGCAGCGAACATTTCGGTACGCGCGCCCCTCTGCACACTCCCCCGCCCTGGATCACCTTCTTTCGCCACCCCTCTTCAAAACTTTGACCCCGAGTCCGGCGCAGGGCGGACCATCGACCTCCACCCGCGGCCAATGCTCCTTAAGGGATAGAATGATGCTGATGACTACTCTTCCATGTACTCTCCTCCTCTTCCTTAGTTCCCTTTCTCCTCTTCTCCTCTCGCTGCCTCCGCTGATGTGAACCCCGCTATCAGCATGAAGTTCTTATCAGCCTCGACGAGAGAGATAACCTCCTTATTCCCTTCTGCCTTGAAGTAACTAGTTCCCCCAAAAGGTGTACCACAAATCTAACACTCTGACCTAATCTGCCTCCGCCAGGAGATAACGCGCCCCCATACATATCTCCCAGCCCCGGCTCAGATCAACTCCCATCATCTGCGTCTACTCCCTAGAGGGCAATCACCTCCATCCTTGTGTTACCCCTGTGCAGTAACACTCCCTTCCTGACCGACCTACCTACCAAGTACACCATAACCTATGTGGCGAAGAGAATATAACCACCAACAAAGAAATAAATACCGATTGATGAAAAAATGAATAAAGAAACTTTGATAATGATGCTGATTATAAAGATTTAGATTGGTAGATGATGATGATGATGATGATGATGATGACAATGATGATGATGATGATGATGATGATGATGATGATGATGATGACAATGATGATGATGATGATGACGATGATGATGATAATGATGATAATGATGATGATGATGATGATGATGATGATGATGATGATGATAACGATGATGATGATGATGAAATAAAATTGGCGAGAAATAAGTAAGGAACGTTTGACTTGCGATGCCCTAATGACACCGGTGTGGAAGATTGACAGCTCAATATTGCTGTAATGAAAATAGAAGATGACGATGATTATGATTTTGACAGAGAAGTCCGAATGATGATCATGAAGAAGATAAGGAAGCGAAATGGCGATGATGACCACCATCAACAGTGAAATGCAGATGGCGACCTGCGGCAAAAAAAAATGTGGGTGACGTAAATGACGAGCAACTTTGATATGTGAAGAGTCTGAAGACAACCAGCGACAATGTTGATGATAAACCAACACTTCTGACGAAAAAACCTGCACAGGAAAAAAAACAACAAAAGAACACAAAAATAAAGAAGAGATCCCTTGATGATGATCTCGCCGACAATCCTCCTGCTGCGATGATGCTCTAAGCTGGTCCCGCGGTCTCCACACTTTGATTCCACGGGGCTGATTCCAGTTTCTTCCACCGACGTTGACTTTCACCAACTTGCTCCAGTCTCTACGAGGGCATTAGCTATGGAGTACTTGACGTGGAAAGCGCAGGGGAAATGGACAAACAGCAGCATACACCACTATTCTCCCTTTTCCACAATGCCTCAGGCTAGCCGTCATGTCAGCCTGTGACGTGGATTGGCCAAGTGCTTTTGGATGCCACGTGTGCGTTAAGTGCTATCGCCAGATCCTTCAATCCCCCCACAACTTCCTCATGCCAACGTGTCCCCACGCACTAGCTATCAGCACCATGCCGCGTGCATGAAGCCAGCACCACGCTATCCGCCAGTCGCCAGCGCCTCGCTGCTTACCTGTAGCAAGCGCCTCGCTGTCCTCGAGCAACCAGCGCCTCGCTCCTCTCAGGGAGCCATCCCCCCGCCACCTTCAAACCACCAGCGCCCCACTACCAGCGCACAACCAGCGCCTCGCCACCGATGGCTGACCAGCACCCCACCAACCGCACGCTGTCAGCGCCACACCTCCAGCACGAGCCTTGACGTCAGCATGTTCCGCCATTGCACGAGTGCTAATGCGCGCTCTCCCCCATACGAGAAAGTGAGCCTCAAGACGGGCTGCACGTCATTTCGCGCCAACCCGTAAGTGCAACAAAAAAAAATTGTTTTGGCTAGCGGCACCAGCCATTGAGGGCTGGTAGCCTGGTACCCCGAGCCTCTGGAAGTTGTGGGGCGTTAAACCACCAGTACCTCTCCCTGCTTGTGGAAATCGACGCGGCCGTATACGTGCGCGTCCCGCGGGGTACCCACCGGCGTGCGACCGGTAGTCCCCAAAAAAGGGGCCAAAAAAA